ATATAACAAAGAGTGAAAATTTAAGGGGGTCTGAATACTTTCCGTACCCACTGTATGTCATTACATTACAGTGATATGCAAATGTTAAAGCACAGCTCAGAGATGACCTATGACACATCAAATTGAAAACTTAAAAATTGTTTATATTCTAAAGACACAATGAAAAACCAGGATGAGTAATTTGTAAAATTTGTTTTTATTTTAGTTGTATAATGGGGCATTTAAATGGAGATTTGACAGAATTAAAATAGTTTTTTTTAACGTATCAGTTTATTAATTGACAGACTTTTGGAAAAGCACAGGTGTATCTAATAATATTAACAACGGCTTAGTTCAGTACAGTATGATAGTGAGCTGGGACCCTGAAACTGATGCAGCTAAATGGGAGTCAGCCATTGTTAATCTCATTGTTTACACCAGTGGTTTTCCTACTGTGACTTCTGTAAAAAGGCCCGTTGTAATTTAACGTCACAACCCCATAAGGTCACTTAAGACATCACAAAGCACTGGCCCAGTGGAAAAAGCAGTAACAGAAGAGCACGTGTTCGAGGAAGGAGATTTAAAGTTCACTCTTGATTTTGCCCCAAATGACCTTTACTGTAGTAGCGCAACCAGAGTTTAGCTGAAATGTAGTAAATATTTTCTGAAGCCAATGATTTGGGACATTCACCAAATGCCTCAGTAAATATCAAGGTCCCTGTGTGTATTTCAGTTAAGCACGCACAAATCAAATTTCAGCACCTGCTGAGCCACCACCTCAGTACCTGGTGTCCACATGTGGCCTGCAACAGGGAAAGACAGTGTGAGATCTTGAATAATGCCAGTTAATATAATTTTCAGCATCAAAGATTGAAGCAGTGTAAAATGGTTAGGGATTTTCTTTAAGCAACATAGATGCATTGAAAAAACTGCTTTCTCTTATGACACTTTTTCTGATACCTCTACTACAGTATAGGCATGTGCTGTTATAATGTTAAAAAAAAAATATAATTATGCCTAAGAATTTTGTTCCTAAACAACAAACTGAATTAAAAGAAATCTTACTGCATACTGTAACAGAAGAACACATGCATCTGAACCAGGACCGTCCTGAGACCCACTACAAAGATGCACTTTCCTACACTTGTTTAATTCTTACAAATAACAGCACAGTAGACTGTAGCGGTTCAAAATTATCCAAGCCTCTACTGACTTCCTGACATCATTTGATAGTAAAATGGACAAACGGAAAATGTTACAATGCATGTCAAGCAACAGTGACATCTTTAAATAGCATTAATTATATAATTACAAAAGAAATATCACGTACAATGACAGCAATGTATATCCACAAATCAAACAAATGCTGAAAATATATATGATAATAAATAACCCTAATCATAAGCACAAGTCAAGGAAAAATAAAGGGAGGGGAAGCGTCTGTAATAACTTCAATTACTTTAACTTCTGGGCCAAAATGCATGATACACTAAAAGACGTGATACACTCAAAAGACTAAGCTATCACAGTTAAGGCTGTTGCAAATACACTCAACAACAAAAAAAGGCTCTGCATCCTGTGGCCTCACTAAGGAACAGAACAGCACTCGAGCGGGTGAGCGCTCATGTAATTTGCAGACATGCAAAGCTGAAAACACAAAGTGTTTGCTGCAACAGCTCAAAAAGCTTTTATGTTAATGCAAGTGCTAAAATCAAACATGAAGACATCATAAAATGTCATTAACCCACTTGCGCGCACTGAACACTTGTCTTGAAAATGGTGCCCAACGTTCTTCATGTTGACTGTGAAGATGTTCAGATACATGGGCCACGTGACCATTGAAGAGGCTAGGGAGGTCTGGCACCTTGCAGTTCCTTGTGCAGGAAATGTCAACTACTTCTCTCTATATTTTTAAGTGTAATATGCAAAACAAAAGGGCCACACAGCAAAAGAAAAATACACAATATTGCAAATCTTAGATGCGTATAACAGAAGGCAGCTTGCCGCACTAGTGCCTTTTATTCACACAGCAACAGCCTGGGCTTACGATACAGCTTACTGCCAACTGATGTGGATTTTAGGTACAGTCTCAACTATAAATATTGTCCATGATTGATTTGACTGACAAAAGTGGGGAGGACGAGTGCAGTTATGACAACAGAAGGATCCAGCGTTTGCAATTCTAGTGGCATAGGGAATGCTTCTTTTAAAAACCACAGCATACATCCAACATAACTTAGATCATAAATAATTCCTTAAAAATAATGACTACAGAATGAATGTCTTACAGAAAACTCTACAGTGATGGCAAAAATGTCCAGATCTTTCTGCTGTCAAAACAACAGAAACCACGACTTAAAAAGGAGGAGTTACGTTTTCCTGTTTTGCTGCGACTTGCCTTTTGTACATCTATAACAATGCCCATTTTCTTTGTCATCTAAATATCATGCTCCTTAAGGTGTCGCCTCTGGGTTTTGTGCACATGACAACATAGTGAAACAATACCATTGACATGAACTATTGAAACAAAACTGTAAAAACCAGGTACAAAAGGTACAATATAATCAACGGACCACATGAAGGAGGTGTGAAAAAGTCTTCAGTATTCACAGAAAAATATCAACTGGAGTAACTCACAGGACAAGAAGCGTCCTAAGTTTTTATACATATGATAAGTAAAATTGAAAATAGATTTTCCTCTCTGTACATAGCACTGTATTCTTTCATCTTCCTCTTCCGTATTTACAAAGAACTCCCATTATTGAGGTCCCCCTTGTCTTTCAGTTCTGTGTGGATCTAGTCAAGAGAGATAACGTCAGATATGGAACCATAAATGGCTGGCGCCGCTGCTGCAGTGGCTGTCTCTGTCTCGCTCTCTGTCTTTGTCGCGGTCCCGCAAACTGCTGGAAGACACCAAACTACTGGTGCTGCCGCTGTTGCTGCCTCCGTTGGTGGCTGCCAGCATGCTGCTCCCGGGGGTGCACGGCTGCTCCTGCAACATCTGAGAGGAGCTGTATGGCAGAAATCGGTTGAGGAGCAGGTCGTGGTCCTCTGAAGCAGATGCCGACGCAGCCGCTGCAGCAGCCATCACCATGTTGTAATGCTAACAAGAGAGAAGAATTACTCAGCTACAGACCTATACTTCAGTATGACGCTGTCCACTGACATCGCCTTCAGGATCAGGGGTTGTATTCACAAAGCAATGTGTGGCTAACAGTGGCCAAGGCTGGAGAAACTCCTAAAACAAGGAGTGTGTTGTCAACTCTAAAAGTCGAAAAACTCCAAAATCTGTGAGAAGTTAGAGATGCAGAACTTTGAATATCTTAGTTACCTAACATCCATCCATTATCTACACCGCTTATCCCTGAATAGGGACAAATAAATATTTACTTGTAGGATTAGAAACTATGTGAATCTGATCACAAGAGTCTGAGTCAATGTACCTGACTGTCGCCTTGGAGGAAGGAGAAGAAACTCAGATCTGCAAGAAAAGGAAGAAGAGTTACATCAGGCAGGATATAAACTTCTCATATTTATGGTTACAAATTAACAAGAAACAACCATCTGTGTTCAAAGATAGGTTTGTTTAGATTTTATCAATTCATTCTCAATACATAAGTTGCAAGCCTTATAAACTCTGAGAGCATGATGTGTTGCTGTTCACGTTCATCCTGTCCTGTCACGCTAATGGCCATGACCCTTCCTCATGTGACTATTATATTAAGATGGACTTTAAAAAGAAACTCTAAGCTTATCCTTTATCATGAGTGACAGGTCTACCTGGCAGGTCATTAGTTGCGTGATAATAGTGGCGGTAGTCCTGGATAAGGGGTGGAGGAGGAGGAATGTAGCTGGTCTCCACAGGGGGCATGCTGGGAGCTCTGGCCACAGGTGAGGCTTGGCTGTGTAGGTTCAATACACTAATAGGAAATACAAACCATGTTAGCGGCAAAAGAAGTAACACAACATAGCTGAGCGCAAACATTTGGTGATCTCACTTCCTGTTAGCAGTTTGGAGACTCACCCCTTGTTTGCAGGTGGAGAGCCAGGTGACAGTGATGGACAGGCCCTTTTGGGAGGTGGCTCATCATCTAGCTCATCCTCTGAGGAGCTATCCAGTGTCAGGTCAATCACATCAACTTTCTTGCTGATGTCATTACATGAGCCCCGTTTTTGCTCATGCGTTTCTGTTCGAGACAAATCTGCAGTGACACAGCTACGTTACACTCTGCCCACAGATCACAGTGAAGAGCACACGCAAACAATGAGGCCAGTGATTGTCTGTGTCTGTGTAATATTCCACAAATCCCATACAGAGGCTAAAAACAATAACAAATTGTGTTCTTACAATAATGTCTGTGAATCCAGAACGTGGTTTAACTAACGCCCCCTATGCCAGCAATTTGTGCAAAATACCAACATAGAAAATCACCGGTCTTATCTTTTAGAGAATGGGAACCGTTTGCTACATACCGCTGTCTACACCGTTGTATGAAGCAGACACCTCCTGCACCTCTTTCTTTGACCTCATGGGGGCCCAGCTTCCATCTTCTTTGAACTGGATTTCATCACAGTCAGAACAGCTATTCAAGATTTCCATGAATAACCTGTGACAACGGCATGACATTTCAGTACAGTCTGACAGCTTTGTAAGCATAATTACTTAGGTTTAAGTATATTCTTAAACTTAAAATTCTGAAAATATAATACAACTAGCACTTTCCATGACTTAATGCTATCATAGCTGTGGCGGCTCACACAACTGCTCAATGAGTCTAGAAGTTTGTTTAAAGCAAAAGATTCATAAGTCTGAATGTTTATCAGACTGCACGGCACTCTAAATACTACGCAGAATCACACAGTAGGACCTAGCATTACATGAAGCGGTGCTGCGCTCACCCGTCAATGATGAGATGCTCATACGGTGCCTTCTTGTCACAGACCGGACACACCCAGGTCGGCTTCTTCTCATTCATTTGGATATAAAGTGTAGCATCGAAGCACTGAAGGTGCGAACATGTTATTGCTCTGCATGGGATTGTCAGCCTCATCTTCCCAAGCTTTAATGAATAATAGAGGACACTCAAGATACATGTCACTTGTCAGTATGGCATAAAATAGTTTCAGGTATGAATACTGCATAACTGTATAGCACCATGCCACCTTTTTGTCTCTCTGCACAATGAAATACAATTCTTGGCAACTTAAAAAATGTCAATGTGATTATAACTGTCAATGAATTTCTTGCCGAGATACGAGTAAGCTAACTGACAAACTGGTTCTATAGCTAATCTGCAGGCTACTAGCTATACTTCTTTCACAATAACACAGCCAACCCCCCAAAAGAATAAGGCAGCACAGTGGAGTATTTACAGGACACAGGAGAGAGACTCGTAGACTGGTGGTGGCAATCTCACTCTCTGGATCAGCTGTCAATTTCTCTTTGACTGTGAGAAAGGAAAAGCAAAAAAGCAAATATCAAAAAAAAGAATAAAGACAGTTTAATCTCAGTGTGCACTGTGGCGATCTGTTTAATTGGACCCTAACTTACCACAGATTAAAAATCAATAACCACAACATATAAATGATGTAGAGATCAACATCACACTGGGGTTTACTGTAGAGCTTCACATACAATAAACAGTTCAAAAATATGATGGCGCAAAAGCAAAATGTTAAGTCCTTTGTGTCTTATTTAAGGAACTGCACCCTGTTGGAGAGCTTAGTTCCTTTTTGAGGTCCAAAGTTTAATTCGTGAACATGTGGTCAAACAGGCCAGAAAACGAGTCTTCTCTATCTCCTACTCCCTTACAGGTGTAGTGACAATTCAGGCTTTTTGGTTTTTACACTAAAATCAAGTGGACACTTACTCAGAGCTCTTGAGTGGTCAGGGTTCCTAATCCCTTTGCCCCGTAGTCTTTGCAACAGGACTGCAGAGGACTGCTGTCTTACCAGATAAACAGCCATGGAAAAACTCTAACAAATTAAGAAAGAAACAATGAGTCAAAAGATCACATTGAAGTGACCAACATCTCCCTCAAGGCTTCAGAAGAAAACAGTGCAAACGTGCTACAATGGTTGATTCAAAACACAATATTCTGTTTTGAATGGTCTTACCCTCCCAATTTCTGAAGTCCACGACACCACAATTGTGTTGGGGACTGTGGTTGACAGTCGAACAAGGGAGGTTATGTTAATGGGGCGACTGGGCCTTTTTGGTTCAACTCCATTTTTGGTGGGAGGAAGATAACCCTGTAGATAAAAATCAACCATCAGTGACTGTGATTCTCAGTAACTGGTGGTGTGATACACTCAAAACAATAACAAGACAGACAAACAGTAACTTGTCCAGACTCACCGGGAGATTACAGGGTTTGCTGTTCACCTTCACACAGAGATTAGGGGGGAAATGATCCTCCTGAGGACAGCTTGTCTCCGATAAACAAAATCTGAAAGTGAAAACAATAGAAAACACATGCCATAAGCTCGAGTGTTGAGAAACTGAAAGCTATTTGTTTCTGTTAAGGTGCCACTTTCACAAAAAAGGTTGGCTTGCTTGCTTATTTTACCATTTCAGTTGTGTCAAGTACAGCCATCTCCATCTATGATATAGGAGAGCACTTCTTAAAGGATGGCATTCATCCATACAGTGAATATTTAATTCTGCAACTAAGAAAAATGTCAGTTTTTTATGTCATTAGGTATTCTTTCTCAAGCAAAAAAAAAATAAAAAAATAAAAAAACTGTGGTAATGAATGCACTTATACTTGCTGGCCTGTACACCATCATAAAACTACACTCCTGGAATTGAACCGTAAACCCAGTTTTAAGCATATTGGTGAAAAACCATTCCTTTGAATCAAGAGTTTGTATTGTCCAGTTTGGCAAAAACATGTCCAGACTTAAATTCATAATTCAGAGTGAAACTAATCTTAATTCCTATTGTTGTCATTTACAATCACTTATAATTGTAAGCTAGTAAGTTAAAACTATAAATTATGTTAAGTTTACTGTTAACTTATTATGTCTGACCCTGTAAGTTAGTCTAGACCATAGGAAGTACAAAACATGTTTTAAGACTAAAAGCAGGCCGAAATGAAGAACACTATAAGTGACAGAGCTATTTCTGGCTGCTTCAAAACTCTGAGAAGCTAAACACAGACCCACTATTCACTTCACATCAAGAATTCTTGATTAAAGTAGAAAGTTCCTATGCTCAGAACAAGAGTATGTTAGACATACCTTAACTGGACTTGAACTGCAAAGTCACATTTGGTCCCAGATATGTCCCTAAAGAATTTAAAAGAGAAGTCAGGCCAGACAGGTCTCAACAGCTTTATACAGTATTTAATAGCAACTATGTTTACTCTGACTGCTTCCTGGGTCAGAGAACACCTGCTTTCTAAATCATGTAAACTGTAAATTGTAAAATGCTTTCACTGTTATTTCTTTTCTCTCATCTCTGACAGCTGAACACAGCGTGCACCAGACAGCTTTCTCACGTACATGGAACTGCTGATCTGTTGAACTTGCTGTGGTGTTAACGCGAAGGCATAACACGCTTCCTGAAACCGCTGACTGTTGTCTGAGGCTACAAGAGTGACACAGAACACGACAGAGAGAAAACCCCACAAAATCAGTATGCATTAGTCGTACATTAGTCATTTTTTGCTGAGTCACTGTTCAGATATCTGTGGTCACAATACTCCATCAGGACTCACCCAGGCTGGTTGGCTTAATGAGCTCATCCAGCACGTCATAGAACGGCAATCTCTGGAGCTTGACATCAGGGTGTACAGGGTGAAGAGCGGAGGGGAGGTGAGGCAGACCCAGCTCGTGCTTAGGCCCGAGTAACGACACAGGCAGCAGAGGCGACGGGGAACCGTGGCTGTCAAATCCCAGCTGGGCGAGGCTGGAGGGCAGGCCGGAAGCAGAATGAACACCAGGCAGGGCTAGGTCCACTGGCGAAACCATTTTGGTTGGGAAGCGCCGTCTGTAGAGTTCCTTGATCTTCATCTGCACCGCGGGACTGCAACCAGCCTTGAGTAGGTGGAGAGCTTTGGTCAAAAGTTCGTGTTTGCGACCGTGCTTATTCCGCCCTGCATACCCCAACAACACCTGGAGCTCCGAAACTCGAAGGCTCATTACCATTTGCTGGTGGAAAATGAAGAATGGGAAAAATGGTCTATTACACCCTGGAAAATACATTTCGCTACTCTGACGTAAAGAAATCAGTTTTGTTCTCTCATTTTGAGTTCAGACTTTTATGGAATTCATTATTATTAAAGACTGTGTAACTCGTTATTTTAACCATTAAAATCCTTCACTAGGTTGCAAATCATGCAAACCAATTACATTTCCATTTGTGAAAAATGCTTTGAGCATGATGATTAATATTTTTTCTTTGGCCTTTGTCCACCATTGGGGCTGGGGGGTATGCTGAATTAGGTTACTGAAAGCCTTAATTCAGAAAACATCACAACATCCTGCAAGTGAAAATACAGGGCACACAATATTATGACTTTCTGTACAAAACAATAAAATCAAATACACCAGAGACCTGTTCTAGAAACAGACAAATTTTTGTGAGATGTTGTATCAGACTGCATTACACTATAAGAGGGTGTTGTCTTCTTGTTTAGGGAAATTCTTAGAATTACAAACATCTCAAGACAAAGAATTTTTCAGTTCTCAATAAAGTAAACATCCTACAGTGTAATGCAATCAAACTAAGCAAAACAACAGTCCTATAAAATACCACACAATTGGATCAACACCCCTGTGACAATGCAACAATGAATGAATGAACATACAATGTGCAGTAATCATGTCCACCCTGTATATAGTCATCTCCAGTCCCTATTTGTGAACAACAGGATTTAAAAGTGTGGTGTGGCACATACTTTTAAAAAAGCCAACCTGCAATTACAAAACCTCTATGCACTAGTAACTTGTTAATCCACTTTGTTTATCGGTCAGGTCACTTGCGTTTTAACTGATGAGTCCAGTTAGTACTCCAACTGAAATGGTACAGATAAATCTTTTCAGTGACTGTAAACATTCTTATGACACTTGAAATCTGCTTACAAACATACACACATAGCATACATAAATGGTAAACTTAGATATAATTAATAGATGAACTGAAGTCTGTGACAATATGTAACATGCCTTTTTACTGTACAATATTCTTATTATATTACTTTGCTATGAATACAGCTCATATAGCAATCTGCGGGAAAGAAAGAGTTTTATTAGTACTGAGATTCATTTTGGAAAGGAACAGATCAAATCGGAAATGTTTGACGATTGTGACTGTTTCCTGTCAAGTAACAAGTAATTACTAAAATCAAGACATTAGAAAGCGAAGGGATTTACTTAGCGTTAGCAAAACTAGCTAGCAGCGCCTGTATGATGCTGGTGTATCCAGACTTAAACAAAGCTTATCGGTACATCTTTCCTTTATCTTATGTGTTTGAGCACTCATCTTACGTATTTGAGTGTTGATCGTCAAAATGTGTTGCCACTGTGACTTTATTTCGAATATTCGCATCATATTTGGTAAGAGGAGCCGCTAACGTTCATGGATGCTAAACTGCGATTGCTTTCCAGGGGATAGACAGAGCCCATTTTCATTAGGCACTGCAGTGTACTAGGTGAACTAATGATAACCGCAGGTAGCTAACGTTACTGTCCCCTTGGGATCAAACGATTACATAACTACGTCTTTAATCTTTTACTACAAGCGACATTTGGCTGTATCTGCCTTTAAAGTACACAACAGAGAGAGACAGCATAACAGTACGCCTGCAACAATAACAAAGCTAATGCTAACGACCTAGCCTGCCAGCTAACAGTTGGTCTTGTGTCCTCTTCCCTGTTGTTTTGTTATTATATATCCTGATAACAACACTCCATGTATGTCTACTATCATAAAACAATGGTGCCATAATTTGAAACTCAAATCTCATTGTGCGAAACGTGTATTTGTCAAGCTGATAAAAGGTCTGTCTTTACCTTCAGTTCCGCACTCTCCGCCATCTTCTAACATTTGGTGCGCATGCGCAACAGCTATTCTCCAGGGACAGTCTTTTTTCTGTCGCTTCTCCGTAACAGACAGCAGGGGGCACTGTCGCAACACAAAACTAGTCTAGATGAGATTCATCAAGACCAAGGGAGTCACAGTTCATGTGACTGAAGGATTTTGTTCTACTCTTACAAAAAAATCAAACGTAATTGTTAGGTAGGCACAAGACGTTAGTCTAATCGATCATTTGATTAGAAGCAATACAAAGTAGGCTATTTACTCAGTATGCCTACTTATGCTATAGTTTACTTGAGTAGCCTTTTCGCATTTGATGATACCTTATTTATTTTCACTACATTTCAGAAGGCATTCTGCCTTAATTTAACAGCTAGGCTGTAGCCTAGTTTCTAGTTTCAGATAAGATTTTGCACAGGCTACATAACATAGCCTGTTATATAATTATAATATTGTTAAATGCATTGTTCCACGATTAAATTCCAATTTTGGTTTTGGCCCCTTACAAAAAACAAAAAACAACAACAACAACGAAACAGGAGCCCCTTAGTTCGCCCTCTAAACTGGGTTTATTTAAGCTGAAAGATGTAAACTCTCTTCTATTCCACAAAAACGATTTGAGAAAAGTCCAGAAACCGACAACAGATTTGTGTAGCCTGTCAGAAATGATTTTTTTCAAAATATCTTTCATATTACAACCCCTCGGATTTGTCTAGGAAGTCGAGAACCACCTGGCTAGCCGTTTACTTTGTATTAGAGGATCGTTACATTCCTAGTAATTTTACTTAAGGATCTGAATTCGTCTTCCACCGCTGTTGATTAGTGACATGGCAGAAAATGAAGTAGGCCTATGACAAACGTTTGCTGGTTTCATATCCCAATAGCTCTCAATACATTTCTCCTCGTTAAACGGGTAAAATCAAGAGTTATACAATATATAGCAACATTTTATAGGCTCATCTGGCAAACAATTTGTTATGAGCAAAACATCTATCTGAGGCCGCAATAATCCACGGTTGTTTTTAATAAAATGATTTATTCATTAGCCATGAAAACAAATATAACATGAACAAATAAGCTACTCTTTATAGTATAGGACTGTAGCTACTTACTGTACAAGGTCGCGGATGTAGGCCACTAATTTAGCCTACTGACTTATATGTTTGTTACTGCAAAGTCTTCTAAAAACAAACGTGTTTAACCGCTACAAATAATTTACTGTGGGCCTATATCAATGCACAGGCCTTTTATTTATAATTCCCATTACTCGTTTAAAGTGCATAACATTCAAAAGCAAGCTCCTGGCCTGCAAAGAAAAGCACAGCAAAAGTATATAATGCACAATACTGTGAGGATAAGGAGCAATGACTTGTCTAGTCAGAGCCGCTATACTGACAACAGAAAACTGAAGTAGCAACCTATAACTATTACAAGATACATACATTGCCATTGCACTTTGCCACAAATAAATATTATCAGGAAAACAAATTTTACTGTATGCAAGAGTTACATAAATGCCGAGGGTGTACATACATATTTTAAAATATTACAATTACATGTCAGTCTACTTTCGACTTAATTTCTCAGAGTCTCTCTGGAGGTTTTCCATAAGTTGCTGTTTGACAGAAGCTGTGGATGTGTCCTTTGTTTCTCTGCCAAATAACTGTGTAGTGATGTGATTCAGGGTGGTAGCAGAGGAGACTTGAAGGAGCAGGATCCGGTGCAGTGGCGAGGAGTCAACATCTTACAGGAGAAATGGTGTAAAGCGTCGTGAGCTTCTATGAAGGAGATAAAACCATCAACAGTGTACCTGCTTGTGCTTACTGAAAAGGCTATAATACAAATTTCATATCTAACATAAAATAGGCTGGATATTAGTATCGAGCATGTTTACATTAATCACAACCACAACAAGGATCAGCTGATTCAAGGCCATGATAAAAATATTAATATATGTAGTGAAAGAATTTTAGATGGACGCTGCACAGTCTGACAAATAGTTTGTGGCCCTCTTTCTTCGTCCAAATGCATAAATACATAATCAAGACAAAAATGTAGATGCGCACGGAGCACCGATAATCACTTTTAATCCCGGAAATGGTGTCTATTTACACGGAGCACCGATAATCGCTTTTAATCCCGGAAATGGTGTCTATTTGTCATTTCCACTAGATTATAGGTCTGCGTTTGTTTCTAATTAATAGGCATAAAGCAGGTGTTTTCCATATAAGTACAAGTGATTCACGTGAAGTCAACAAGCTTCACTGCGTATCAAAACACCAACGATAATACCCTTCAGATAAACCAGACAAATCCATGAGATCTTGTACACACAGGCCACTTGGAGCATACAGGCTGTCATCAATCAAAGTGAAGACATGTCGTACGCTGCTGTATGGAAAGCTCGCGTTTCATTTGATCCTGAAAATTATCTGAGGAACAAATGGCAGGCACACATTTCAGTCACTGATGTAATAGGTGAACCTCTATTAAAAGACTATAGTATCAATACAAGCATTAACATAAATTCATGATAACCAGAAAAGCCCCCCCCCCGTGTGTGTGGCGTTGACGTTAGTCATAAATATTAATGTAAAGCTAAAAACAAACAAAGGATTAAATGAGTTTAATTGGATGAAGTCGTGCTTTTACGTGATTTATGACACACGTCCCCCTACCAGCCTCTAGAGGGCGCTGTTCTCGGTTCTCAAATGTGTAGGTCATGCTAGAGTGTGGGAATACTTATGTTTTGTGGTGGAGATTGGGATTTAGCATTTTAAAATGAATTCAGCAGTGAAATCAAAGACAATAATCAATACAGAGCTTAAACCTTAAATTGTATGTCTTCATAAAAGTAGGGTGACCGGAGCAATTAGAGTTTCAGATTTAAAGTGTATGTGAAAACATTTTTTTTCTCTGTTGTCAAAAGTAGCCCCTTTGTAAAATTTAAATAAAAACAGGACACCTTTAGACAATTTTGTTCATGTTGTAATCACAAAGCCTTGATCATTTAACAGAGTCTTCTTTGCAAAGATTAAACGTGATTTTAAAAAGTGTGTCAAGTGAGATAAACGCAATAAATGCAGAACAGTGCACTTGTGCTGTCTTGTTATGCTTTATTTTCATGAAACTCCTAATAACTGGATTTAATGACTATGAATGCGTAAAGAAAAGGTGGCACCAAGTGAAGGTCATCACACAACTTTAAGTTTTACAAAGACACATCAGTGAAATCCGATATTAGATTTGTTAGAAAGTGATGCAACAATAATATCCAGAACCCCAAAGTACAACTTAAAGAGTGATGAAACTTCTGTCTGCTACCTGTACACGCCCTTGTGTTGCTACTGTAACATATGAACTTCCCCTTGGGGATTAATGAAGGACTTTATCTTATCTTAATGTGCATCACAGAACCCAACGATGTGCAAAGTTTTTATTATTCTGAATTAACTTTTAAGGTGTCCTTCTTACTTTGACAAACGTGATGCTGCACAACAGTGAGCCAAGATACATTTCTAAACAAATGTAAGAGTTCATAACAGAGTTTTTACTGGTAAAAATGACCAAAGGTTACTATTCACCCTCTGATGTTCATTGCACCAAAAAAAGATGAAGCCTGATCTGCATTATTTGCACTGGTCTTCAGTCATGTAACCATTTTGATAAAGACTTTTAAAATACCTTTATACCACATGACAGAGTCCCTTGCTTTTCCCATTTTGGAGATCTGAGATTTTGTACAATTAAATGAAAATGTACTGATGAGAAATCACTGGCATATCCAATTTTTTTTTCACAGAGTACTGTACAACAGTTCTGAGCTCTGCATCCTTTCTTCATTTTTAATATGAGATTCTCAAAGAGCTTAAACAGTCAGACTGTGAGTGGTGTTTTGTCCTGAGATTCACAGGACACACTCAAAATAAACAGAAGCTTCCTCTCGGCATGGATACAGTTTCATATTAAGATCTTTACAGCACCACTTTGGAGTTTAGTGTCATATAGATACATATGAACATCCTGATGTTCTGAATGTACACCTGTAACATTCAAGATGCAAAACATGTCAATATCAATTCTGATATCTCAGTTGAATTAAACTGACACTATCTCCAGCTACATAGCACTCTATACTATTTTGACTTTTTTCACATAAACCTTTTACAATTTCTATATAACACTTTATTTGTACCGACTGTATCAGCAGTTCTGTAAAATAAACGGAGCCCCAAAATATCTGCTTTTCCACTTTCTCCCTTGCAAAGAACTAGTTTCCAAGCTTTTGAACAGAAGGTCGAAATCATAATTCTCTCACATCAGTGTTAAAAGGGGTTTTGAAAACACCTCTTCCCAGAGGAGCGTGTCCCTGAACCACTTAGCATTTTTGGAAGAATGTTGCCCTTTAACATAGTTCTGCTCCACAGAGAGAACTCATAAATGGCACTGCTGAGGTGGATTTGGTCGTGGCATGGCAAACATCATGTTTTAGCCTGAATCACAATAATGTTAGAGGTGGAAGACCTAACATGCACCACAAAGACTTTTGAGTCGCTGCCTATGAAATCACTGCTCCTGTGATAAAAGCCAAAATAGTGGGAAAAGCGCGGGTGCAGAATTTAGCTTACCTTTCAAGTTTTGAAATTCACGTTCCAGCTTTTTCCTCAGCTCAACTTGCTCTAACAGCTGCTTCTGTAGTTCCTCTAAAAGGCAGACAAAAATAGGGGATATTTAAGGAGGAAAGTGCAGGCGTTTGTGTCATCTTCCTTCTAGGACAGATAACTATTTTTAGCATCCTCATCATTAACAATGAAAAGTCAGAGCAGGTCTTCTTGGGCCTGCAGGAAAAGAACACTTAATGGGGATAAATCCCACTGAATCTGCATCAAACACAAATTGACAGAAAAAAACTGAAGATATTGTCTGATTTACTTTAAATTCCACGAGAAGTTGTTACTTTGCAAGTGACACTTAATTAAAGCTGGCCCCATAGCAACAGGGTTTCTTTTTAAGGATTTGGTCCCAAGGCCTTAAAATTGGAAGGAGATAGAGATGACTGAGGGGATGCTGCTGACAATGCCTAATTAAATACAATATGTGGTTTATTCAACCATTTTAAAACATTTGCTATTATTATGTGACATAAAATAGATGGAGATAAATGAAAACAATTGTTATAGCCTAACAACAACTACAACAATAATAATAATGATAATGTTGCTTAAAGAGCCTTGTTGTCCAACAGTGACCCACCGTCTTACCTTTTGCCAGACTTTGTATTTCCCTTTGTGTTGGCAGAACTCTGGCTGGCGCGTCCTCGCCTGAATACACAGGAAATAAATAATATTTTTCTATCTGCAATAACGGGGACCCCTCATGTCTTAATACAAAGCTTATAACACTGAAAAATCCAGTTTGCTGACCTCGGTATAACTTACCATCCTCCCGCCCTCGCTGGTTTTCCTCACTGCTTTGTTCATTAAAAGATTTCGTTTCGATCTCCTCCACTGTGGAAGACGGCTCTTCTTTACTCGCACTCTCATCTTAAGAGAAAAAAAAAATCGATGCAATTTTTCCCCTTTTTCGATTTTTTTTTTGCAGCTAAATGTTTTAAAGAAAAGCAGAAACATAAAAAACGTCTAACCATTTGGTGTAAGTACTCCAGTCTGGTAATGCGCAGGTCTGAACTGATACGGACTGCTCCTTTGTTGCAGATCACTCCTCTCCGGTGTGTAAACCTAAAGAAGAAAGAACCACCACTCCTTTGAGCTCTTCAAATCTTAAGAGGTTTTATAAAATAAAACCTAAAATTAATAAGTAACATATACTGTAAGTTGAAGTATAAATATTTTTATTTAAAGAAAGGGGTTTTGTTCCTAAACGTTGGACATATTTGTTGCTGCTGTTACACCGTTTTAACATAAGTGACAAATTTCCTCACAAGGACACAAAGATTTATCTGCTTTAAATACACACAAGCCAACTTGTAGAAAACGTGAGAGAAATAAACAGATGGTATTTTCGCCCGTTTTTCTCAGTTATAAGTCACTCACTTCAGTAAAAGATGCAGATATGTGGGATAACTGCTTGCTCTGCAGTTCTCTTTCAGAGGACTGGGCCACATGTAGGGTCAGTTTTGGGGAATCAACCAGACTGCTCTCCTGCATGCCCTTGGAATCTGAATCGTTTGGTGAAACCGTGTGTTCCAACCCTGGGGGAGTCCGAGGACACACCGAGGACAGAGGCCGGGAGTCCTCCTCCTCTGGTGTTTTATTTGTCTCCACATCCACATCCGGCTCGGCCTCACTGTCTACACAGGGGGACACTGAACGGTAGCTTGAGCTCTCACTTAAAAAATCGGGTGATAAATAGCCGGTGCGACACCCGTTATAAGTGCCCCTGTTTCCGTACAGCTTGGCGATACAGTCAGCGTCTTTAATAACAGGTCTGAACGCAGAGACGTAGCTGATTTTCCGATGCGCAAGGGTCATCCCCTCCAGCGGTCTCGCCTCATCCCCTGACTTATCGTCTTCGTTACGCGCGGACTGCGTGCTGGAGCACCGGTCGTTTTCAGCCATGCTGTCTTTTGAGGTGTTGGTGCTCCGGTCACTGTGCTCAGATATGTCCATGTCAGTGTGTCTTTGTGGACACAGCAGCTCTGGTGGGGGTTTGTGTTGGGTTTGGGGGTACGGGGGCATGGGCAGCGCGCCCGCCGCGGGCCAGAACATAGGGAAGGAGTGATAGGCGCTGTCCTTGGTACCAGGCCACAGGACACCTGGGAGGCCCGCTTTGCTCTGCTCTCCCATCAAACTGTCTTCCTTCGGAGGAGCGGCGGTGGGATCTTTTGCAGCATCCCAAAGCTCTTACTGGGAACCGGGATAACTGGGTAGTTGCGTGCGCTTGTCATGCCGCCCCGGTTGTCCTCGCAGCTGAGCATTTTTGCAGGTATTTCGGGCGACTCTCGGGGACGGTTGGGTCCTTGTGATTTTAAGGGAGAGCTGGAATCCGACCCACTGCCTGGCAGCGTCCTCTTACGACTGCCCCCGTTGAACATGGCCTTCACATCTTCCCAAGCGTGTAAAACCTCAGTCTGGCTGCTTTTATCTGTTAATTTGAGATGCCGCCTCCAAGAATTAAAATTTGCTGCATCTGGCTGCGTGTACTTAGACTCCGGCGTGCGATGCGAGTGAAATATGAATTTATTTGGGGAAAAATACATATTGCAATAGGAGCACTTGATGCACTTGGCCCTGGAGCTGTTGTATCGGGCAGGGATGAAGCTGCCTCGACTCCCCCAGGCACACTCGTGGGACACATCAAAGGCAAAATTTTCTGGAAGTTTGGGAGGCGCATGAGCTCCGAGAAATGACTTACAAAGTCTCTCGGCCTCTCGCTTAGTGATCATCCCGCAGCGCCTGGAGGAGATAGGCATCGCCCCTGCTCTCCGCAGGATTTCCAGCTGGACAGGGGTGCACTGGACGCAGGTGATCCCCAGAGCCACACGCCGGTTGTGTATCTCGTTATAACTGTAATTCTTCAACAGGGTATTAGATATCTGTGCAAGGCAAAGTCTCTCCTGACCATCTATCACCAAAGACACGATGGGTATTCCGTACAGCACCGTCTCTCCGACCTGGTTGGGCTTCAGGTTGTTGGTGCTCGGGTAGGAAAGCTCTTGTTTGGAACTTGGCGAGGAGCTGGAGTCTCGCCCCGCAGGTATGGAGTCCATTCTTGTAGGCCTGGAGGCTGCAGAGAGGACGTTTGACATGAACATGTGAGTTTTTGTCCCCCATTACCATAAAAATAGTCTCATCAGAGATTTATATTTAGAATTTCATAGGCTACACCGTTTTAGTTGATTATTTCATAACAGGGAGAACAAGTTGCCAAATACAGAAACAGACGAGAGAAAGGACGAGCACAGGCCCCCGTTTTAATAAAGTTGCGTGAACGCAGTTGTTTATTTTAGAACGCAGTCCTTCAGAATAAAAGCAGACTTGGCTAAGCACTGTTTTTGACCATGCCAAACGATAAACCTGCAACTTTAGCCTTTTGCTGTTAACAGGCGACTGTCTGCAGGTTAAAGATTTGAATAATTCCACGTTCTAGTGTATTAAGTCATGACACTTAATAATCCGGCCTAACACACGGACTGTTAAATGCTGCCGAAGTCAGTTCCTAAAACTCACCTTTAGCCTAATGCTTGCGCAGCTCCCCTCCGTCGTGAATGAAAAAGCTGTGATCAAGTGAATGTCAGAGCGATAAGAAGTCTGCGTTGGTGTATATAAAGGTGTTTGCTTTAGGAATGGGACGCAGTTGTCCGTGCAGCACCGCCTCCCTCCTGCTCACCGTCCTCCTCTCTCTCTGCTCTGCTCTCGGTGTATGCGGCTGGTAGTGTTGCGCCAGCAGCAGCAGCGTCCACATGGCAGACAGACTGTAGTACAGCCCCCCTACGACACCAACAACAATCAAGTGACGGCAAAACTTAAGGCAGGGCACTCCCACTCTCACACAGGCAGTCTGCATTAACTATGAATTCATGACCAATAAAGATGATTTGAGATTTTGGTCTTATGGCAGCCTGCAGGTCTACACACAGGTTGATAAGATGCTATGTACATCAGGGATTATTAAATAAAAAGCAGCTACTAAACAATTTATCTAATGCAGCCTATGCCAGTAGCTTTAAATAAATCTTAATTTTAAAAAGAAACGCCTACATTAATATTTCATTACTCTGTTTAGGCTATTGTGTAGACCATATTGCATTTAATTAATTCTTTTGCACTTTCCTGTTAAAAAACCCACGGTGTTTTTGACATCATGCACGGATGAGGCTGCAGTGGGATTTGGCATTCCGCTAAAAACAGCAGGGACCCACCAACGCATTGTTGTGTGCATGCAGTCAGGGCTCACTGATGAATAGGACGCGCAGGCCTGCATCATGTGTTGGGTTCCCACGGATTCACCGTGTACAAGCTACACCTCGCCTACATGGGTCTGGACAATAACCAGCTGCTCTAAAGATCACTCTCTCTGATATACGATCAGACAGATGAACAATACGGACAGCCTTGCGCCATAAGCGAAAGGTATTTAACTTTTTAATGTCAATGCACGTTTGGGTAAATCATTTTCATCTTGCACAAGCTCGGCGCAAATCACTTGGGCTATGCAATAATAATCAAGGCAGGCCTACTTGGTCCTATAGACTCCAGAGGGTCAGCAATAATGACAATTTGTGCAGAATTATCATTTTAAGAAATGAAGCTGTAGACAGAATCCACAGCGTCCTATAGGCTTAAATAAAATTCGAAAAAAGGCGCCTGGTCTACAAAAAATGTATTCTTTGAGCACTTACCAAATGCAAATGACTGATATAAAATGACAAATTTTATTCATACTTTTTCCACATTGTTGGAAATGGAAATGAAAAACATGCTACATATGAGTGAATCGGTGCCTAAAATGATAATTTCCTCCAACTCTATCCCGTGATGGCCATTGTTTTACAGTCACTAATCTATTTGCTTGTAGGACACTGCATCTACAGCCTAACTCAGTGAGGTCAACTCAAAAACATAAAGTATAGGCTATAAATCCTAAATGAAAACGCATTTTATTTGAGATCAAAGGTCCATGTAAGTGAACATACTGTGGTCCAGCATTAGGGAGCTCTTCACGTGAAAAGAGCAACTATATTTAAATCAAGTGGCAATCTCTTCCATCTGTCTACCTATCGATTATTTAACGGGTATGGTCTGTGAACCGCGACTGTCATCGCCCTAAACCTCTTAATTAAAAGTCATTGCTGCTTTCAGATATATTCAAAGTTTAACTGACAGTGTGGACAACTACACCTGAAATGAAACGAATGAAATCAAATTCCTGTCCAACTCTTGAAGAGACCTCCAGTAATCCCTTAAAAAGTCCACACTACAGAGTTCTGTGAAACCCACAGCCTTCACACTCCAAACACAGATGAAGAAATGAGCGAAGTGCGCAAAGAGTCAGGGAGGTCATTATCAGGCTCATGCTTATTCTACCTTTTTTGTGCAAGAGAGAACAGCTCATTTAAAAGTGTGTCTGCATTAATCACAGTGCTGCACCAAAGTATGATAATCACCTGAACACTATTAAAATAAAAGTGCCAGCCCAGGGGAAATCTTACCTTACTCTTTAATTGTTTTGAGGCTTAGATAGGCTTTTTAATCTAAGATTAATTTATGCATTCTTAAATAACTCTACATATGATTAATAAGCTTGAAAATTAAAAGGAAACTGAAGCAATTATAACAAGTGGTTGGTCATCACCTCATTAAATGGTATTAGAAGGATGCAGTTTGAGTGTGTGTGTGTGTGTGTGTGTGTGTGTGTGTGTGTTTGCCCCACTGGGTACCAGAAAAATCAACAGTAGAGTACAAGTAGAGCAAAATGTGGAGAGAAAATTAGAGGAAAAAGAGCTGCTGGCTAATTATCCTGGATATTTCTGGTACATTCCACTGGCACTCAATTTATTAGGAACACCTAGTTACCCCCCCCCCCCTTGAAGGATAATGTTCAGTTTTTGTTCAAACTTTTTTTGAGCAGTGTCGATTGGACTGTACGATCATTTTGGAAGATGTCTTTTGTGCTGCTGTTGAAATGTACTGTATTATACAGAGGGGCATTTCTGTTATTTAGCCAAACTTCATTCTTATAAATGGGGTGGACAAAGTAATAGAAACAAAGAAAGCACCACAGACTTTCAAAATTATCATACATTTCAATCAACACCTCTCTAAATGGTTTGAACACAAACTGATCATGATCAGAAATGAAAGATCAGCTGTTTGGGAGACCACCGCAGAGATGTAGTGAAAACAGTGAGACTCGCTAAATGGTTGCTAATGTGTAAACAAGACATCATTCCTCTCCTGCTCTGATTTTTACTCGTCTCCTAAAAGCCCACCCCTGGGCCCTGACCCTCACATCCTCCTCCACTAAACGGAACATTTCGTCTTGTAGGAGGTGGTGTACAATATGAGTATGGGAGTGAGAGTAAGTGGGAGGTTGGTGGAGTTCATCACTGCATCAAATGAGCCTGAGTGCAGGGACCCTTTTGTCACAGGCAGGGACTCATCTGCCAGTGGTGAGCTGTGAGGTCCTATGGGAAGGGAGGAACAAAGGTGCTAAAAGGCTGTGTGACAATGAGGGTGTTCTGAGGAAAGACTTCAAGTGTGGGACACAGGCTGCATGGGACAAGCTGTGCCAATCATTCTGCAATTACTTTTTTGTGCAATCTAGAGGCCTTGTGAGGGCATTCACGGAGACCCACAAATATACAAGCAGCCGCATTTCTCTGTACGTTGCTTGTACTTATATAGAGCTGACCCAGAGCTCCTCATGGCAGAAACGTAAAACAAATTCCTTCCCCTTCTGTTGATTTGTCTGTGGAAAACACATCCTCATTTCACTGTGGACCCTGTACTGTACCCATCACAGATAAAGTTGATGAAACTGTGTAGTGAAATGCAAGGTGACATGCTCCTGAAGTGCTTAAAGACAAGTGTACAAAATAATGATTAGAAAAAAGAAATACAAGAGATAGAAATTCAAATTCAACATACCAATAGTAAAGATGTGTTTAAAAACTAGGTATAAGCAAATTGATAATGGATTGTGTGTAAAAATGTGTGTTGTTATATCAACTGTTTTATATGCTTGAAAGAATAAATCAAATCAAAAAAGTCAAATGTCTTGTGTCATATGTCACAAGTGCACAAATGAAGGGCAATGCAAAAGATCTGCTGAAGACAAGGTGCTGCACGAGGATATACAGAAATCAGAGGACTGGTGGCCTGAGGAAGAAGCTTTTTCTTAGTCTCTCCTGTGTAACTACAACCCCAAATTAGAAAAAGCTGGTGCAGTATGTAAAATCAAAACTAAAATCAGAAAATAGTGATCTGTACATTATCTGTGTTCTGTATTACATTGAAAACAATACAGCAGCATCAATTTTATTCTTTGTTCAAAATAAACATTCACTTCAATTCTGATGCTGCAACACATTCCAAAAAAAGTTGGGACGGTTACATTTCAGGACCAATAAAAAGGTAAAACAATGAAATGATGACTCCATTTGAAACAGGTGATGTCAACAGGTGATTGCATGATTTGGTACAAAAGTGGCATCCAGGAAAGGCCTGGCCCTTTAGGAGTAAAAATGGGCTGGGGAACACCAGTTTGCCAAAATATATCTGAGAAAATTATTGACATGTTTAAAAACTATCACTATTACTATCCCCTACATAATGACTACTCTTTTACTTAATTATTCTTATACAAACTGTCTCACTATGTTTACTGAGTATTTAGGGAATTGAAGTTTTGTGTATCAACACCTTATGCTACAGTGTAAAAAAAAAAAGATGTAGAAATTTGTCTATATCCAACCCCGAGCAGTTTCAGTGGTGTAATGAGGAGTCAAGTGAGAATGGGAATTATCGTAATGATAACAAAGGTCTATGCACCATAGCTTGGGGCTGTATTGTAAGTCATTACCATAAAGATGCGATGTGCTTGTATTGCAGGGTTTTTGTGAGGGAGCAGGCCAAAGAGATAATAACTATTAGTGGATGACAGTATTTTGTAGGAATTCCAGCTGTGGAGCCCAAATTTCCATACAGATAGAATGGCTCTGGGTGGATGATATGCTTATGTGGGGGAAGGGCTTGGTGACTCTGTGGACTCATCTGAGTGCGCACACACACACACACACACACAAGTCATGGTCGGAAAGTGGGAAATCTCAGTGTTGGACTGAGTCTTGGTGTCCCCAGTCAGACCTTGGGGCGAGGTAAGAGCCTCCAGTTTGAGCGCTCTCTTGGTCTCTGTGGAAGAACTGTCCAGGGTACTGAAACAACTTGCTGTTGCTCTGCTGACAGCTTTCAATGTCAGGAAGTGCAAATAGCTAGGGCTCTGTATGTGTGTGTGTGTGTGTGTGTGTGTGTGTGTGGACAGAGGACCAAACATTTCCATCAAGACCACATGCAGGTGATAATGTGTGCAACGCGCTTGTCAGAACCGGGGTAGGGGGAAACCTTGCATAACAAACAAATAAAAGCCCTTGTCCAAGAAAAACATATCTGCACTTTCAAGGTTACAAACTTTTAAAAGCGTGCACATTCAATAAATACAAGGTGTATCCAACATGTGTGGGAATATGGATGTTAAAAGACATTATATGCTTTTGGGCTTTCTTGTCAAGAGTTAAATGAGAAGGTTGATACCACTCTCAGTGCTAAATACAAATCTACAGCCAGTAGCTAGTTAGCTTAGCTTACCAGCGAGACACATGATGGACCACTACACCATAAGGGTCACATGACCAAAAAGGGTAGCCAAGCTGGCCTGGCTTTGTCCAAAGCTAACAAATATCCTTTCCAGTACCTTGTTTGTTCTATTCAAA